TCTGATGTACTTCGTTCAGTTGTATTGCTCAAACATTCTCCGTGTGTAGTAAATTGTATGTGAAACCAAATTGATATAGTTAAATTGGAAAGAACAAATTTAACTAAAATAATCATTTTTAAAAAGAATTTATCATGTTGAAAAAAAGATAGAAAGAAAAAGGATGGGATTTTTAAGGAAAATCTAAAGAAATAATATCAAATCTAGGTTGGGACGGTTAGGTTATGGAATTTTATTTAGTTGATCAAAGGTGAATAAAGAATATTATGGGCATAGTTCAATGAAATCGTTAATATCTATAAAAAAAAAAAAATATATTATTATTTCTGTTATTTCTAGTGGTCTCGTTGATTAGGTACAACTACTAAACTCTCGGGCACAGCGAAACTACGGGTGCTTACTAAATTTCTGCCAAATAGGCGTCGTCTGAACTACCTGGAGCCTTCAGGCCTACTCCCATAAGCGCCATATGAAAAACTAAACACAAGAGACATAATACTATACATAATAATTACATATATTAATAATAAAGAATGGGTGTTATTTTTAATGGGTATAATTAATGTGGAATAAATCAACAGAGTTATAGTTAATATTTGCAGTACTCAACGTGTAAATTGTTGATGTTTAATGGGTAGACCCCCTATTAGGCGAATAATTCGCGTGCGGATGGATTTTAAATCGCCGCGAATGTTCGCCAAATTTAAGTATGTGCGATCGATTGAGACGATGCGAGTTGTATTACTGCTTACATAGTGTGAATGGTCTGGTAATACAATTTGTTTAATTTTAAATGAACGTTTGTTGCGATTTAAAATCGCGTCGCGCACGAACTATTGCCTATTGTGTATAAAGGCCTTAAGTAAACTTTGACAAGTCATAATTACTTTATAAATCGTTTGTTTAAAATAAGTTACACTAAATCATGTGCTATATAATTTCATAGCATAATATTTATATATTTTAAATAAATATATTTATATATTCAATGTATTAAATATACATCACAGATGTTCAATTGTATGTTTTAATTTGTAAAATTATTATTTAACCATTTAACAATGAATATATAAGTTTAATTCTTCATTCTTCCAACAATAAACATAACATTCTATGTGTTTGTTAAAATTATTTACGTAGTAATACCTCGAAAATAATATGCATTATGTTCGAGGTATAACGTAATCGCTGATTACATGAAAATTGCTATCATTGGTACCTACTGGTAACAATTTAATTTGTTTGAAGCATAGTGCAAATTAAATAAATAGTGATTTACAGCAAGGCTTTAAGTTTAGCTATCGCGCAATATGTTTACATATTGAACTAAAATCAGTATAATCATTATTTGTTTATAGGTAATAATTAGGTAATTTTCATTTATATTTGTGACTAAATATTGTATTAATATTATTAATTATTATAGTATTATGTCTCTGTGTTTAGTAGTTGTACCTAATCAACGAGACTAGAAATAATAATAATATTTTTATTTTTATAGATATTAACGATTTCTTTGATATTGCATCGATGCCAATAATATTCTTTGTCACAGCTGTTAGAAAATGGAAAAATAAATGTAATAGCCTATTAGCATCAAGCATGCTTTAACCAAACATTTACATTTATTTCATTATTATTTGATACCATTATTATATTATAGATATACCTGTAGTACTTTTATTTACTTAAAATAACAAGTTTAGATTTAATCAAATATTTAAAATAAAAACATGGTATACACTTGTAAAAGGAAAATTAGAATGATGCTCTCGCGGAATTAGGTCAACGATTCCTATATTGGTTATTTGTTTCGTATAGGTAATACCTTTGTGTGAATTTCGCTATATAATAAGTATAACATAAAATTAACATTTTTATTTAAAAAAAGTTGTAAGTTAAAATATAAGGAAATAAAATATTCAAACAAAGAATAACAATTTAAATTAGGAATACGACGGAATAGTGTGGTTACTCAAATAAAATGTATGATCATTGGTCAGAAACACAATTTGTTAATTATAATAGTATATAATATAATAGCTTATATTAATATAAGCCGAGGTTAGGTTATCTAAAACACCTTGGCCCGTACTGTTGCAGTGTGCAACACGTCGTTTGGTTCGCCATTTCGGTGCGTATGATTTGATTTCGGTCTTTGTGCGTTGCCATACCACGGTGAGTCGTTCTGCCGAGTTTTTTCGGTTGGTCGGCGGTGTTTGCGTTCGGGACGTTCGGGTGTCGCTGTCACCTTTTGTACACGTTTTGTGCCCGTCTTGCCCAGCGAATGAATAAGTATCCTCGTGGGCTGCATCGGTATGTACCTACATCGTCTTCGACCGCTGATAACCATGACAATTGCTCGATTATAATAATTGTTATAATTTTTTATCATTATATTCTGTTATCGTTATTGTCATCATATTATTAATTATTATTATTATTATTATCTGAGGATAAAACTATCATTTAAATTTTAAAACTATGGTATTATCTCCATGATGCACTTAGATTAAAATTTAATCAGGGATCATTCAATAACTGTTCATTTTTATTAGTGAACAATGGTTTCATGATAAAATATTTATCTTAAAGCCATAACAACCAATGTAAAATATTTATTTATTTTTTTTTATATAAACTTTTTTGATACAAATAGTTTCTACAAATAATGTCAGATATTAAAATAATTAAAAAATACATACAGATAAGTACAATAAAAAGTAAAAGAAGTTTTTTACACAAATTTGTTACTTGTTTTAAGTTTACTCGTATTCCAGATTTATTTTTGTAATATGTAGTACATTGTTATAATTACATGTATGGTTTAAAAAAATAGTAGGTATGTCATTCAATAGAAATTATTTTGAGAAATATTTGGTTGTATTTTTCGAAAAATAAAAGGTAGAAAGAACTTCTAAAATCTAATTAACAATATTTATCTGATGAAACCTCACACCAAAGGGCAAAAGCTAATATTGAGAATTTTTTTTTTTTTTTTGAAAAGAGGGATAGGTAGAGTTTTATTATTATCAAAACTTTTTTTTCAACCGTTAATCCAATTAACTAACAGAAAAGTTTAAATCACTTTAAAGTTGAGTATTTATGTATTTTATCTGTTCCGAAAAGTGATGGCTACACATATTATCATCATATAATTATAAAACTTATATATTAATCTGTAACTTAACTAATATTTAAACAATAAAATTATGTTCTCATGGGGTCCTATAGAGGCTATTTAGTTACTATGAATCAGGGACAAATATTGTAGTTTCTAGAGATGTAAATGTACTAATTAATTGTATATTAATTTTCATACACAAACGGTAGTTATTCAATTCGTAAAATATGATACTATATACATGTTTCGTGTAAGCAATTTAATATTTTAATTTTCTGATTAGGTGTTGATATTATAATTCATAAATTGATAAAAGTGATAATTTTTGAACAGAAATACACATTACAATAGTAGTAGTAACAAACATTATTATTTTTAATGATTTAAACACATATATTTAGGCCATTTAGTGAGAATATTGATAAATATTTATAAATTATTATTACTGTATACTATAGGTATAGTTTAAAAGATATAATTTAATTTTTCCCATATTAGTCTGTTCTGTTTAATCTAATCTGGGACACGGTGTGAGAGGAGTTGATTTCCATCCACTAATCATTGCGTTTGTTACTGGAAATAGTCCACAACCACAACTGGAATTGAAATCATCTCCATCAAGAATATTTATAACTATTCCTTTGTAGTTCTTTTTTGCAAAAGCCCCCTAAAATAAATAAGAAAAAAATATTTCAACATGCTGTAAAAATTATTACAATTTTGTTGCAAATTAGAGTAAGTAGAGTGAGTCACTGTAATAGATTTGTTAAAATTTAATTAAATTAATTTTATATTTATAGACCATTTTCGAAAATGAAAATAATAAAAAATTATTTGAGATCCACACATTAACAAGAATGCCTCAATGAATTATCAATTTTAGCCATTGAAGCTGAAGAAGCTGAACAAATGGATATAAACGGATTTATAAGACAATTTGCTGATTTTAAGGCAAGAAAAAAACCATTTACGTTATAAATATATTTGAAATGTTGACAACGTAATTTATAAATTATTTCTTGTTAACACATATTATTATTATGTCATTTATTTCATGTATGAGTATAATTTAATTAATTATGATATATTTTATGAATTATATATATTATAATACATAATATAATTACACATTTTTTATATAGGTACGTGTAACTGTCTAATTTTATTCTTATAACGATTTTTAGGGGCCATAAAATAATATTGCACATGGGCTAGAATTTTATAGTTATGCCACTGGATAAACCCTTACAAGACAACGATGTACTAAGTAATGAAGAATTATAAATTAAAAAGGAACAATTCATTTCACAATCAAAATTAAATATTGAGGAATATCAAAAGTTAGAAGCAAATACATGAAATCAAAGGAATTGCCAACAATGGTCTAATGAAAAAAGATATCGTCTTACCGCGTCCAACATTGGAAAAATGTGTAAAATGAGGTTAACATCATGCAAAAATACAATGTATACATTATTATATGGTAAACAGTTTCAAAATTTTAAATAAATGGAATATGGGAAAAAGTTTGAATCAGAAGCACTAATTCAAGCTTCCAATATATTAAAAAAAGTATAGATTCTTGTGGGTTTTTTGTGGATTACGAAATACCATTTCTTGGAACTTCGCCGAGTATAATTGTATTATAAATATCTTCATTTAATAATAATAATTATATTTTTTTTTTTTTTTTTTTTTTTATTAAATTAAGTCCGCGGCAGCTGAGGCCATTGGACTGACATAAATTACAGGTTAAGTTATAGGTTACATTATTATATACAACATTAATTTACGTACTTAACATTATATGATACATGGATATGTGGTGAAATAGATAATTTTTAAATTTTGTTTATTAATTTTGAGTTGTGGATAAATTCTAAAATATTTTTTAAGTTAGATGGATTCAGTGACTCGGAGAGCTGGTAATTATATTTTTTATAGATGGTGTAATTGAAAATAAAGCTGTTGTGAAAATGAAATGTCCTTATGCTGCTAAAAATACAAGTAATATAAAAGAAGCCATAGACAATAAAAAAGTTAGTGGTAATTTACTTATAAATGATGACATGTATAAGTAAATAATTGTAAAAAACTATAATTATTCATTTATTTTTATTTTTTTTTAGCTTCTTTATGTAGAATTAGTAAATGGAAAAATGTCTCTTAATAAGGATAGTTATTATTTCTACCAGGTCATGGGACAATTTAGAATTTGCCTAAAAAAAATTTGTTATTTTTTTTGAATATGCACCAAATTGGATAAATTTATAATAATTTATACATATAGTATAAGTAATCATTAAAAAATTAATTTATCAATGCGTGGTGCGCATAGTTTACGATGTACGCAATGTCATAATCACTATCACTATAACGAATAATCTACAGTTACACAACGTTTGACGAGATATGTGTATTTTAAAAAGTAATTGTGTTAAAATGTAAATTAAGTCACGTGGTTAAAATTGTAAAAGTCTTTAAAATGTACTGGTACACATATTTATGCGATCAGAAACTTTTATAAATTAGTCGAGCACGCCGAATTTTTTCGTTAAAAATACGATTATTTGCGCTACTGTATACTACATAATATATATATACACACAGTCAACTCGGCAGTGGCGTCCCTAAACCCATTTATAGGGAGGGGGGCGAACTTCATACATCACCTATATATATATGAAAATACACCAATTACTATATTTCAATATAAATTATGAATATTTTAAGAAAGAAAATAGAGGTCATGGAGGTGGCGACTGCTCCATTCGCCCCCTCCCCCCTTGAGGACACCCCTGCAACTCGCGATATAGGTAACAAATTTTAAGGGACCAAGGAAGAAGTTCGATATATCAAAAGTTCGTTATATCGAAAGAAGAATTCAATAAAATTAATTTTAACAAGATTTCAAAAAGATATTCAAAATTTATATTTTATTAGATTAAGTATTATTATCGAAGAGTCTCGCTAGAGACTCCTTTTTGTGCATAAGTAACACCGATACAACCGATAGCGAGACTATTGTATTACATTAAGTTTCGTCTCGGCGCTCGGATCCTCTCACTCGCACGCGTTGGTTGAATGCGGAGTGCGAGAGAGACAAAGCTAAAAAACTGCAGTTTTGTGAGTCTTTTTCTTTCGTTCCGTCGTCGTACGGCGAGACGCGGCCGCCCAAACTTCCGCTTCCGACGCCGTAGCAACCGCCACGCGCCGGTCGCTACCGTACCGCGAACCTCACCCACAACCAAGGACACCCGCAGAAATTTTTCTCAGGGGGGCCAGCGAAAAATAATACACTCACCATAAATTGTTTTTTTATATCACATCGTAAAAAATTATTTTTTTATTTTTATATTGCAAGTGTCACCTTATCAGTTATCAGTCCTCCTTTTTTTTTTTTTTTTTTTTTTTTTTTTAGCGTATGGTTTGTGGTTACATGCATTAGAATTATAATATGGTAACGTACAGTAAATTTAATTAATTAATATAATATAAAAGATGAATAAAATAAAAATAAACAAGTAAAAAAAGAGAAAATATGAGTAATATTAATAAGGTAACGATAAGGTATTAGAGATCTAGTTCTAGTTCCTCCAGCCATTTAATAAATTTTGGAGGGGTTGTGAGGCAGTCGATTCTGGGACCTTGGTAGGCGTGTATGGGACATACAAATGCTATGTGATAGATGGTCTGCTTCTCTGCTCCACAATCACATTTTGGTGAGTCTCTCATGCCCCATTTGTGCAAGGAATCTGCACATCTACCGTGTGAGGTTCGTATTCTATTAAGTGTGCACCACAGATTTCGCTGTAGGTCAAATCCTGTGGGTATATGTCCTGGTGATATGTTACATAGGATGTTGTCGTTCTCTGCCACGGCTGCCCACGTTTGTTCCCATTGCGTCATCATGTCGAAGTTTGCATCGATTAGGTCCTTAGCTGTTTTTGGTGTCGGTTTTCTAGACTTCAATCGTGTTTTGGTCGCGTCGTCAATAAAATTATTAATGGGCAGTTCATGATTGAGACTTATTTTTGAGAGCTCTTTAACTAAGGCGCTCGCTCTGCGAAGTGGTGGGGGGGCAATTGCTGTTAAGTCCTCCTTATCACCCTCCAAGACGCTTTATAAAATGCAAATAAATGCAATAAAAATTAAGTTATATCTTAATTAGCGGGGGGGGAGGGTGGCCCTCCACGGCCTCTCCCTTCGGATGGCCTTACCCACAACAACAGCTAGGCGCTAGTATAGTATACTACGCGTAGCTAGTCTTGTCTTCTATTCTATTCTATGCCTATTTTATTCACTCTGCGAACGCCGTGGAACATACCACGATTTGTAAATTTTACTGTCTCAATTCGTATGCTTTCACAAATTCGTATGATTGAAATTAGCAGGTACGTTTTACGTTTGCAGGATTATTTTATATTATAATTTATAATATATAGATTATATAAATTATATTATAATAAAATATTTTTACGTACTTGCGTTGTTGCGATACTGAGGTCTCGTGCAATGTATATTTGTACGTGTTATTTTACGCGATTTATTGTTACAAAACAACAGCTACGTGCGGTGCAACTCCTTATGTTATATTGTAATATTAATTACAATCAATTTTGAATAAAAGTAATCAATTTAATGATATCGTTACGTTCAAAGGTGTTTATATTAAAACTTGCATTTTATGTTCTTATAAAAATGTCCAAGAATTTCAATCAAATATTATGCGAGTAGCCATAAAAAATGATTCGAAAATAACGTATGAGTTAAAAACACTTATGGATTTTGAACGTTCAATTAAAAAAACCTGGACTAGATGTTTAAGTTGTAACAAGGATACAACTCATAATGTTCAGGTTTGATCCAAAAATTACTAACAAAGTTTTGATTATTCAATTACAGTTGGAAAACTCCTATATTAGCAATCCCGGGGATTTTATTATATTCTGTAATTACAAAATAAAGGCTTTGCCAACGTTTGTACTGAAAATTCACAATCGCTTCTATAAGCTACACAGCTGCATTTTCTACGAGAATAATCTTAAATCTGGCAGATACAGCATAATGATCAGGGAGAACAAAACTAACTGGGTACAAATAAAAAACCAAATCACGAAAATACATTAGAGGCCCCAGAATTCCAAAACGCCCACATTTTAGTATTCGAAGCAAAATAATTACATTGTCCTGAGATACTACAGTAAAACGCGCTTCAGAAAAATAATTGAAATCCTCAAAAAAACTACTTCGGAGGAGTAAAAAAGGCTTTCTGTGCGTAAGTTGAAGAGATTGGGAGAAAAGATAGAACTTTGGTACTAATAAAGAAGTGAAATCAATACCCAAATTATGTGCCTCAACTTGAAAAAATATCTTATTCAAAAAAAAATTTCAAGATGTACAACTGTACAAACATTGAAAAAAATATTAGCACAGAACGGCGTACAATTATGATGAATTAGCCATAAATTGAAATTGTCGACTTGTTTACGAGTTAATCTGTCTGATTCGAATTTTTATTGACAAACTGTAATTCACGCTGTTCTGTGCTAATATTTTTTTTCAATGTTTGTACAGTTGAACAAGAAACAGAACTTTGAGATTGATTTTACATCTTTAATCTTTATTAACACCAAAGTTCTATATTTTCTCCCAATCTCTTCAACTTACACACAGAAAGCCTTTTTTACTTCTCCAAAGTAGTTTTTTTGAGGATAATTACATACATACATAGTAAATATGAATTATTGTTTATTACATTTTATTTTATTATATCAATACGTATTTATTTATTTTTTTATGTTATTTTATTTTTTTTGGTGTATAGCCATTTGCGCTTACAATTGTATAATTTTAAAATGTGATCAAACGTTGTAGAGACATTTATGTTATCGCGTGATAATCGCCGAAACAAACACCGTAATAGTAAGCTAGTAGTGGCTAATAATAGTATCTTATACAATAACGACGTCATGCATTTTATCCTATCGTATGATAATTGTACATAGTCGAAACTCGTAAAATTCGTAATATCAAGCTCCAAAATTGTGAAAATATGTTACATAGCGAGAGCTTTGGTTAAAAAAACTTCGTTATATCGAGGACACTAAATGATTCGTTATATCGCAAAATTTTCAAAGGACCGACAGTTTTATTCGTTATATCGAGATTTTTGTTACAACGAGCTTCTTTATATCACGTAAATACACTGCGAGAATCCCGTGGCGGAAATAATGGGCGTGGTTACAGACTGTCGCGACGGCGACAATACGGCGCACAACGCCATCTCTGGAGCGTTGTATGAATTTCACTTAAACTATTGCGGCCTCTTAAGGTACGATCGGTTAGTTAAGGTTATATAGGTTTTAGTTAAAAACATCTCCAGCTGTATATTATATTTTCATCCCTAGAGTACATATTATTACATATCACTCTTAGTTTTTCGCATATACATTTTATACTGTTTCATATCCTGTCATCCGTCTTAATATAATATGTGTGTATCGGATTTGTCTGCCTTTATATGATTAAATCCCGTTCTATAATCGGAGATTAAATAAGATTTAAAATTATTTACTTGGTCAAATGAAAACTGTGAACGATCCTGACACCAGAGAGATGACTGTGGTGTATTGGTGCTACAATACTGAAATAAAAACAAAACATAGATTTTCAGTGTAAAAACACAAAAACATAAAATTTAAAGACAAAGACATATTTTAACCTTGCTAAAAATATATTTCACTAAAAATAAACTGTTATCTGTGAATTCGAATTAGTATGTTAAGTGTTTTCACGTTTTATTGCTATATGAAGTTTGATAAAAAAGGATTGCTAATTTAATTTTCTTAATTTAAATTGTATAAAACAAACGTAAAGACTGTATATATTTTTACATAAAAATTTTTCTTTCTCTTAAGTATATAATCAGTTAAAGGACACAGTAATACTTCAAAATATTTAAGTCCACTTCATCTAAACTTAAATTATTATTAAAACTAATCATCAATTTCTTTTTCATCCAAAAAAAAAAAACAACAAATTTTTCAAAAATTATTTTAAAAGTGTGAAATTGTTATTTTTTTAATGAATAGTTATAGAATATTTTTTTCCATATCTTTTTTTACGGGTGCAAAACAATGTCCTTATCATGTTTCATAATTTGGTATTGTTATATTAGTATAAAAAAAAATTAAATATTTATATAAACAATAATTCTAAGTAAGTAAAGTTGATTCTTAAGCTCTTATATCTAAATATAAAATTAATCATACCGTAGAATACGACGTAATTAGCTTATTATTTATTTTCGGTTGACCATTTGGAATTCTTACATGACACTTTAACATAGCATAAATTTTCAACTTATCCATTGTTGAACCAGTTACAGCTGAAGTCACTTGTTCCTGAAATATTTCGTAAATAATGTAATATTTTTAAAATGAAACATTTTACTATTTTTAAGAACAAATACCAACCATACTCGTCATATTAGGAGTTGGACTTTTGATTGGAGTCATACCATATTTTTTAACATCTGAATCACAAAAATCGTTTAATTTTTGTATGTCAATTAAATAAATATCCAACTCTTTATTTGTTATTGTAAAATCAAAACCTTAAAGAACATAATTGGAATATAAAGAAATAATTTACATAAACATAAAGAATAACAATAAATTATTGTCCTCTGAAAAATTTATATAAGTATAATTTTCTTACCTGAATTATTATTAAAGTTTTTATAGGTCATCCCATCTATGATTAAACCAATTTTTATTTTATGTTTTACTTGTTGTTTGACTTGACTAATAAATGTACTTATTTTTTGAGGAAAATTTTCCATGACATCCTTCACAAAATTATACCAGTCAATCAAAACGATACTAATATAATGTTATACTTTAACTTTTTTAAGTTATAATTTATTTTATGCTCTGATGATTAGATTTTTTAACAATGAGTTAGAATTATATTGCTAAGTGTCACAAGACATTTAAACATGGCTGTTGTTAATTGTTACATGTGATCAGAGAATTATAATAGTATAATAGTTAAACTCAAATACCAAAATTTCAAAATCATATTATATTTTAAAGATTATTTCATAACACTGGTAAATATAACTTAGAAATATGTATGTTCTGATTTAATAATAATCTTATAAAAGAACCTTTCGAAAATTGATGAAAAACTTAATTTTAATTTTCGGGTATTTTATGTATTATTATAAAAATGAACTGTTTTACAAATACTATTTATAAAAGAAAGTTCTGGGAATTTACAACTTTTTTCACCGCCCCTATATTAGTCAACTGAAATCAATTTGATCATAATAATCAGGGTATTTGTATTCTCGTTGAAAATTTAAGAATTTTTACATCTTCAAAATCAAATCATATATAATTATAATAATATAAGAATTTTAAAACTATTGTTTAATTCAACTATCATCTATTTTACTCACATAAATCTTTCTTATATTCATGAGAAGACCACTAATATTAAAATCATTCAAAAAACTGATTAACGGACCCATTTTTTCTTTCTTATATTGTTCTTCGTCCTTAGGAGCAAATATTGAGGGCCAGTCTGTTTTATTAACGAATCCAAGTATTAAATAAACAATCTTGTTAGCTTCATGCAAGGATTTTATTATATCTTTAAACATACACATTTTAATATATTAAGACACAATATTTTAGTATGAATTATATTTATAAATAATGAATTTATATGTTTTTAATAGTTCTAAATTATAGCGCTTTGATATAAGAAACTACTGTATTAATTTTTATGTTACCACGAACCATCGGTATCTTTTCCATATCTTTAATCAATTATTAATAGGTTAATGGCTTACCTGCAGAAATGATACATCATATAACAATATTTATCAATTGATCATAATTCATAATTCATTTGTTATTTTTTTGTTTTAAATATCTTTTTTGAATGCACGCACTTGTAATATTTTCTTTAGCTGTTGCTAATTATTTAAGCCACTTACAAGTTACAAGTGTTGATAAATATTGAAAAATTAATTTTAAATGATGAATTATTAATTTATTATTCGTTAACTTTAACCATCATGAGATTAGTTATAGCGTGTACATCACCCTATAACGTTTTAGTACATCATTCACTTCTCTTTAGTCTATACCTACTTCATTATTTTATATTTAATTAATGCCAAAAGATTTTAAAGCATAACTCTGTTTTAGATCCTGAAAATATTTATATATTTTCCGGTTTAAATATGTTGAAAATAATTTTATATAAGTGCTCTTTAATTTTTATATGTATTAATATCCAAACAAAATGTCTTCGAAAATAGCTTATTTGTTTGTTTTTATAAGTATAATGGACATTTGTTAGTTAGTCTAACTACTAAATGATTGTGTATTTAAGTTGTTTATAATTATTACCATTATTCTCCTTTGTTGTATGGACATCAATACCATTATCCCTATCAAAAGCATATTGACCAATAACAAATATATCACAACCAGCTGGTAATTCGGCTATATTGAATTTATAAGAACTGCCCCAAGCACTTCCAGCTATAACACAAGTTATTTCGCTTGGCCACTCATCTTAAAAACATGTATACATATTGATTAAATCCAAAAATACATAAGGAGAAAATATAATTATTTTTAATATTAAAAAAAAATAAATATGCTGTTAATTATTCTGCTGTTTAGTGGGTGTTGGATGTTTCTCATCATTGATAAGTTAAGTGTAATTTTATGTTTAATATTAAATCAAAGATAAATAACTCCAAACAAAGAATGATGCTGATCAGAGTTGTATTGGTCTAATCAATGAATCTATATATATTACGAAAACTACATTACGTATCGT